CAGTGGCCTCCCTGCGCCTTCCAGTGCAAGCTCCACACCAAGGAGAGTGCAGAAGTACAAGACGCAGGCTCTGCCCTCGCGTGGGTGGGGTCGGGGAATGCAGGATAATCACAACTAGTACTTAGCGCTTCTTATGCCCCAGCATCGTCCTTCTGTTTTGTTTTGTACAGTGAGGTCAAAGCCACATAGAACTGTTTTAAAGTGAACAATTCAGTGGCATTTGGTGCATTCACAGTGTCGTGCAGCCGCTCTTTCTGTGTAGCTCCAAAACCTTTCATCACCCTCCAAAGAAAACCTTATAGCCGGGACTTCCCTGGCGGTCCAGTGGTTAAGACCTTGTGCTTCCACTGCATGGGGCACGGGTTCGATCGCTGATCAGGGAACTAAGATCCCCGCATGCTGTGCAGTGTGGCCAAAAATTTAAAAATTAAATCTTATACCCGTGAAGCAGTCATTTCGCATTATCCCTTTCCCTCAGCTCTTGGAAACCACCAATCTGCATTCTCTGTGGATTTTCCTTTTCTGGATGTTTCATATAAATAGCATCGCATGCTGGGCTAGCAGAGGCAGGTGGGGCCCCAGTGTCCACATGTTAAGATGACACTTAGCTTTTCTTTATCCAGACTGAGGTCAAAGGTTCCCTCTGTAGCTCGAGTGGCTGAGGTTAAATGTCTTTGCAGTCCAGCTCCTAGGAAATATTTATTATTTTTTTAATTAATTAATTAATTAGGTTGCACTGGGTCTTAGTTGCAGCAGGCGGGCTCCTTAGTTGCGGCTCACCAGCTCCTTAGTTGCAGCAGGTGGGCTCCTTAGTTGTGGCATGAGAACTCTTAGTTGCGGCATGCTTGTGGGATCTAGTTCCCTGACCAGGGATGGAACCCGGGTCCCCTGCATTGGGAGTGCAGAGTCTTATCCACTGCACCACCAGGGAAGTCCCAGGAAATCTTTAAAATTAAGTCTGGGATGAGCCTTTCACCAGCAGATTTGGTAGAGATCTTTGATGAAGTGTGGGTGAACGGTCTGGAGGGTGAACTGGCTGCTCTGCACTGGGGGTGCTGTCTTGCCGCACTTTTGTGAGAAAACACAGCCAGGTTGGATGTGTGATGTGGGGCATGTGGGCACGTGTCTATGTACAGACAGACATCCTGGAGCCTTTTGTGTTCGAGCACACTTTACAGATCACAGAGCACTTAGAGCCCTTTACCTGCAGCTCTCTAAAGGAGGCAGGGCCAGCACTCTTAACTGCAGTTTATAAATGGGGCAGCTGAGGCCCCATCGGATGACTTGCCCAAGGTCGCACAGAGGACGAGGGGCGGAGCCCCAAGCCTCCGAGCTTCCTGTCCAGACACCTTAAGCTGCTTAGTCATTGCTCAGGTGGAGTGAGGGGGAAATGAGCTTGCAGGTCGTATTAGTCAGAAACGAAATACCATAGAGTGGCTTAAACAGCATAAATTTATTTTTCACGGTTCTGGAGGCTGGAAAGTCCAAGATTAAGGTGCCGGCTGATTTGGTTCCTGGAGAGAGCTCTCTTCCTGGTTTGTGATGGCTGCCTTTTCCCTGTGTCCTTAGTAGTGGAAAGAGAGTAGCCCTTCTCATAAGGGCTGTAATCCCATCGTGGGTACCCCACCCTCATGACTTCATCTAACCCTAATTACCTCCCAAAGGCCCTGGCCCAAATACCGTCACACTGGGGGTTAGGGTGTTAACGTATTAGTTTGGGGCGGGGGGGACACATTCAGTCTATAATACATGTGCAAACCCATCTCTTACCCATCATTGGTGGGAACCATGTGCTACAGCCTGCAAGTCATTGGGGGTGTTCTCATGAAAATAGACAATTCAACCTAACTCTCTCCCAGGGACGGACGCGAGAGGCGGGGCAGGGAAGGAGGACAAAATTCGGAGAGTATTGGGAAGAGAGTAGGGTTGCCAGATTTAGCAAATAAAAATATAAACACTTAATTCTGAATTTCAAATAAACGAGGAATGATTTTTTTAGTGTAAATGTGTCCCATACTTCGTTTGGGACATACTTATACTAAAAAAAAATAGAAAAAAATTTGTTTTTTTTCATCTGAAATTCAAATGACCTTGGTGTCCTGTATTTTTATCTGGCAACCCTAAAAGAGAGGGGCCAAGAGTTTTGAGGCAGGCCAGTGGGCCTCACAAAGTACTATCACAGGGTCTCTGGACAGATTCTTGCTTTACATATTTAACTTTTTAAAAGTCTTTTTAAAAACCATTGAGCTTTTTTTTTCTTGGCGTAACAAAAACGTAACATAAAATTTACCATTTTGACCACTTCTAAATATACAGTTCAGTGGCATTACGTACATTCACATCGTGGTGCAACCACCACCGCTACCAATCTCCAGGACTTTGTCATCATCACAAACTGACAGGTCAAAGAAAACCAGAGCCGCACAGTCATTAAAGGGGTGAAAGCAGATTTTATTCAGGACTTTGCAACAAGGGAAAAGAGAGGTCAGTACAGAACAGGGGTCAATTCCAAATACAGCGTGGACAAGTGGGGACTTTTAGCCAAGAAGCCGGATTGGGGGGGATAGAAAATTACTAAGAGGGTTGGGTAATTCTTGGCTAGGATTCTTGCTGCAGGCAGGCAGGTGAGGGATGGGACGTCACCTGGGGACGGGGGAGGGAGGCATTTGGTCAGATAAGAGGGCGGGGTCGGGGGGGGAGGTTCTGGCTAAAATGAGTAACAGGATTCTCGCTAAAACTGGGCGACGCAAGTGGAGGCCTAGTTGAAAGAGGATTCAAAGGAGCCCGACTAAAGTGCGGTCCAGGAGAAAACCGTCACGAGCTCTGTACCCGCTAAACAATAACGCCCCCTCCGTAACCGCCGTTCTGGCTCTGTTTGGATCTGACGGCTCTGAACACCTCGCACAGCGTGGACTCGTACAGCTTTTGTCCTTCTGTGCCCGGCATTTATTTATACTTTTTAAGGCGGGGCGGGCACCGGGCGGACTCTGCGGGGAGCTCGGCCCGCAGATCCCAATCCCAGAAAATCCGGGCTGAAAGAGAAGGGGCAGTCAGTCAAGTACGCCTCCGAGCCTGTGGGTGGAGGGGGCGCGGAGGGAGGGGAGGGGCTGCGCGAGGAGGGGCGGGGCTGCGCGGGGAGGGCGGGGCTGCGCGGGGGGGCGGGGCTGCGCGGGGAGAAGGGGCAGAGGGCGCCGGGGTCGTGCTCGGTGGCGGGGCGAGGAGCCGCTGAGGGGCTGGCGGCGAGCTGAGGCCTGAGGGATCGAGGCGCGGGCGGCTAGGGCCCCTGAGCCGCGGCGCCGAGCGAGCGGAACTGGCGGCTGGAGGCGGGGCCAGAGCTCGGGGCCGGGAGCGCCGGGGAGGCGGAGCGGGCGGCGGCGGGGCCCGGCCGGCGGAGCGGAAGCGGCGGGCGTCGCGCAGGTGAGGGCGCGGGCCTGGCCGGGACACGCGGGGCGGGGGTGGGGCCGGTCGCGGAGGGGACGGAAGGAGGCGGGAGCGGTTCCGGGGGACGCCGCCGGGCCGGGAGCCGAGGCGGGAGGCCCGGGCCCGGTGACTTCCGCCTCGGCCGCCGGCTGGCTGGCCGACCCGCGGGGCCGGCCTGGGCCTCAGTAGGAGGGTCGGCGCCCCCCGCCCCTGTCGGTTCGCGGGGAGGGCCCGGCTCTTGGAACGAGCTGCAGTGGATGCTCAGACCCTCCGTTTGCGGCCACCCCTCCCGGCCCCTGGATGACCCCCCACCGCTTTAACCCTGCTTGGGTCCCCGTTGCCTGCCTCCGAGCTGGGTGTCGGGCGTGGGTCGCGGGAGGGATCCCGAGCACTTCGAAATTTATCAACAGCATTGTGAGAGCGGGTTTGCTCTATGTTCATTTTTCTGGGGGAATCCACAGTTTTTACCAGATTCTCTAAGGTAGAGGCGTCCCATAGAAATATTATGCGAGCCACATATGTGACTTTAAAAGTAAAAGGAAACGGCGAAATTAACTTAGTGATGTGTTTTATTTAGCCCACTGTATTTAAAATATGGTCATTTCAACATGTAATCAATATTTAAAATCTTAATGAGATACTTTACATTCCTTTTTTACTAGGAAGTTTGAAATTTGGTGTATATTTTACACGTAGACTACATTTCAGGTGCTCGATAGCCCACGTAGCCAGTGGCTCCTGTATTGGACGACAGGTCTGAGGTTTTCATTCCGAGCCTGCAGGCTCGAGTCCACACTCCTTGCCGTGGTATTCAGTGTTTTTCGCGGTCTGGCCTCTTTTTTTTTTGCTACTTAGCCAAGGATGGTTTCATCCTCATTGCCCAAACCACTTGCCCTTCCCCTACACACCTTTGTTCAATTGTCCTTTCTGCCTGGGGTGCTCGCCCTGCCCTGTCTCCCTGGGTCTGGCAGGGAGGTACAGCTTCTGCTATTCCTGACTCCCCTGACCCCAGAAGGGGTTTATCACTCACTCCTTCCTCAGTGTCCCCTAGCACTGGATTCATGGCTGGATTAGAGCACTTATCACCTGCTGTTTAATTGTTTTCCAGGCTGTCTTCACAGCTAGTATAGCGTCCTCTTCATCTTTGTTGTGATCATGGCCAGCACCTGACAGTCGATGAGCATTTGTCAGCAGACAGAATGAGTAAAGTGCTAAACGAAGCTGTAGCGTTTCTTAATTCCTGAACAGACCTGCTCCTTCCTTGCTTAGGAGCTTTGTGCCTGTTCTACCCCGTCGTGCATGGGCACACGAGGAATACATCACAAGATGAGCCCAGAAAGTACCTTCTTTCTGCCTTTTACTCCCTGAGGTACAGAGCTAAGTTAGGACTCCAGGCAGATTTGCATCAGTGTAAATGCAAAGAGAGATGGGGGTGGGATTTTTGAAAGGCATGCGAGTTCCCAGAGGGTCAGGTTCCTCAGGTGGTTTGGCATCAGCTGGCTCCACTTTGGTCATTTGATAGGTGGGAAGAGAAGTGGGGAGGTGAGTTACTCCTGGGCCCTGATGAGGATTCTCTGCAGGTTCAGGTCTAGGAAGCTGAGGAGCTCACTGCTGGAGAAAAACTTGGAGAGCAGAATGGTCATCTCGGACCAGGAGAAGTGCTGGCCTAGGAAGGGTAGGCAAGAACAAGTTGGGTGGAAGGAAGGGCAGGGGAGGCCAACAGAGGATAAGCTCCAGCTTGCTGAGGAGATTGGCATGAAACATTGAGAATAACCACTTCTCAGAGGGCAGTGCCATTCTCAGTCTGTAGGATGAGAAATGGAAAGAATCAGAGATTCAGAGAAGGCAAACAACTTACCCCAGGTCACACAGCACTTGAAACTCAAATGAAGCCTCCTAAACCCTCCATGCCACACTTACCCAACCCCACCCACACCTCTGTTGCAACCAGGGACCCCAGCGTAGTGCCTAGAAGAGCAGGTCTGGGGCACAGTGCCAGGCCTGCTTAGTGTCTTCCTCACTCTTCCACCGAGGGGCTGCGATTAGGCCTATTTATAGGGGCTTGGTGCCTTAATATTCTGCCCGATACCTCTCGCCAATCAAATCAGTGCCGTCTGCAGTGTGATTGCTGCTTTGGTGGCACCAGGGAGCGGAGTTAATTAAACCCAGTATAAATAGACTGACTGCCCCCCTCTTGCAGTTCCAAGGAGTGTTTTTCCTTCCTGTCCCCTGCCCCCATGTGCCCCTCCTTCCTCCTGGCCCCCCTTAGCTCTGGCCTGGGAGAGCAGAGCCCGGACATCCTTAACCCTGGAGTCTCCAGCCACTGCCTGTCCTGTCCCGGGAGCAGGACGCTCGAGTCCACATTGTCTGTGCTTTCCCAGACCCGGGTACCGTTTGGGAGTTGACACAGGCAACTTTCCCCCCAAACCCTTCCCTCTTTTTCACTCTGCAGCCAGGGTTTCTTTCTTGTTCATCCAGGCTTTGGAGGCTAAAGTGAGATGAGGTGGGGAAGGGGTGCCTAGCTGGGTTCCAAGTGCCTCCCGGCAGCCAGTCAGCATTGCACCTCCTCTGAATGCTTCATGTCAGTCTCTGGCCCTTAGCAACTTCCCTCCCTCGTTCACCCAACAAGCTTCAGCAGAACACCAGCTCCTGTGAGCGCCCAGCCTCCCACCCAGTGCTGTGTCCCTCCGCCCCACCCCGTGCAGACTGCTGGGCGGGGGGCTGTGCGCCCATCACCTCGCCCCGTGGCAGGTGGGTGTGCGGGTAGTCCTGATGCTCAGTTCCCACCCCCAGGCACCATGACCCCCACGGGGACTCAGAGTCCGTTGGCCGATCAGACCTACGCGGTGCCCCTCATACAGCCAGACCTGCGGCGAGAGGAGGCCATCCAGCAGGTGGCAGATGCCCTGCAGCACCTACAGAAGGTCTCCGGAGACATCTTCAGCAGGTGGGTGCTGCTGCCACCCTCACCTGATCGGGGGCTGCTCCCCGCCCTGGGCAGTCATCTCTCCAATCCCAGAATGCACCCTCTCAGAGCACCCCTTTTGGTGATTCTTGGTCCTGAGGGGGACCCAGCTGGCTTTCTTGTGCCCAAGGGGCCAAGCTGGGTGCCCAGCTTCGAATTTTATCGTAAGAGCTCACTACCTCCTGTCCCTCTTAGCCCCTGGGTTCCTTGTGCATCCACCCAGTGGTGGTACAGCTCTCCCAGCTCATGCTCTTCCCCCCACTGGGGGGCCCTGTTCCTTCGCTTATTCCCACAGTCAGCGAATATTCGCCCAACACTTCTTGTGTGCAGGGCTCTGTGCTACTCTCTTTAGTTACAGCAACGACTAAGGCAGCATCTCTACCCAGCCAGAGGATATACTCCAGCAGCAGAGACAGACTCTAATTGATTAATTGCATGTTAGTTAATTAAAATTGTGGCAAAACCTGTTTTTAATATTTTTGTAACAACTAATATTTGCATCACATTAACTGTGTGCCACCGCTGACCTGAGTGTATTCACTCATTCAGCCCTTTGTCCTGTACGGGTCCTATCTTTCTCTGGCCATGAGCAAGCTGAGAGGGGCATAGAGCTTCTCCTTCCTGGGTGCCCACACCGTGCCCCCTGAAGGCTGGAGTATTTGACTGCCTGACTCAGGTCCCTCTGCTGGTCAGGTCTCCCACACCGTCCCCTGCTTGTACCCCAGACCAGGAACCCCGACGCTGCAGCATGCAGTCTCCTCCCCCACCAACTGGAATTCCACCTCTTCCCAGAAGCCTTCCCCAATGGGGGCAGACAATGGAGTCATTGTCTGTAGCTGGACACAGTCCAAACATTAGATCCACCTGACTCTTTTGCCTCTGGGCTGCCCACTAATGCACCTGCCTGCCTCACACCTATCCCGGATGTAAATGTACCCAAGGGCGGTGCCCCGAAGTAGTTAAGGGGGTTGACTCTGGAGCAGACTTCCTGGGCTCCAGTCTGGCCTCCCCATTTGCTTGCTCTGTAACCTCGGGCAAATTACTTAACCTCGCTAAGTCTCAGTGTTCCCGTCCATAAACTGGCAGTAATAATGGTACCTTCCTCAGAGGACTGTTAAGATGAAATGAATTGGAACATGCCAAGGAATTGAAGTGCCAGCATATAGTAAGCATTCAGGACATGTTCCTTCCTCTTATCTGGTGACATCATCTCTGCTCATTTGCTGCCTATTCTGGCCCTCCGTTAACCTGCTATCAGTAGTTATAGGAAGTGTTAGGTGCCCCTTCTGTGCTAATTTTTGTGCTAAATATGCCCAAGGAACACGTAAGCCAGAGGACACAGGCCTTTAAGAGCCATTGGTCCCAGATTATGGCCACCCCATACCTCGTGATTGAAACGGATGCTAGAAACAATCCATCAGAAATATTTGTGTTTCCTCACCAAGATTGTGACTGCGTGCTTGCCTTTCTGTAAGGGGAGCATTGGATTTTTAGCATACTTTCCTTTCCCTTCCTGGTGTTTGGCACCAGTGGACATTTTCACGTTCCTCTGACCCTGGATGGGGTGAGCAGAGGGCAGGAAGGCCATCTCGTGGGGAGGGAGTGGCGAGTTGGTTGAACATAGGCTCAGCATGGCCCAGGGATGGTAGGATGCTCCCAGGAGCCTGGTACCTGCATCCACGCTTCCCTCACCGCTGGGTTCCAGGTCCCCCCATTGACCCCCCACCACGTGCCCAGCATTCAGGTCAGAGGGATACTAATGGTGTGTGGCATGGGGTTCCCGTCCTCAGGGACGTCGTCGTCTAGGATGGGAAAACAGCCATCTGAGCTGATTCTGAGCCGCGTAGCATGAACTGTGTGAGCTCCTAGGGGCCTAGAGGCGAGAGAGACAAGAACTGGCAGCACATTTATCAGTCAGACTCCCCAGACCAATAAGCAGAAGTAACCCGTGCATAGAGCAGCCTTTGGAGCTGCAGGGCTAAATGCTGTCATCAGGGCCTGGTTTTGCTCTCATCCCATCCCTGCTCGCTACTTCTGGGTTGGCCCCATTCCCAGACAGGCCTCGCTCTTGCAAGGTAACCAGTGGGCCCAGGGTTCATACTCAGGCTCAGGTCCAGCAGGAAAGAATGTCTTCTTCTGCAGCAGTTCCCTCGGAAGTCCCGCCCTCCCACTGGCCTGGCCTGGTTCTCATGGCCATCCCAGAGCCAGTGGCTGGGGCCGGGCTGGCGGGGAGGGTGACACAGCAGCTGGCTCAGACCTCGGTCACATGCCTTACCCCCAGGCCCTGGGTTTAGCCCCACCCAAAGTGCGGGACCGAGCCTGTGGGAGCGATGGCGCCCCCATAGGAAGCAGGCTGTTACGGAACGAGGAGGGAGCAGATGCTAGAGAGGAAAACCAGCGCCTGCTCCCCCAGGTCAGGGAAGGCCTCCTGAAGGAGGGGTGCGAATGGGGCCACGCGGAAGGGTTCTGGCGAGGCCGGGTGGGGAACGCCGCCTGAGGGCCCTCCGCTGGGGCCCGGAAATGAGTGCCAAAGGCTTGAGGCCTGACTGGAGGGCGGTGCGCCCCGGGCCGCGGGGCCCTGAGTACCTGAGTGCCGCCTGTCCCAACGGTCCACTCCTTTGCTGCAGGACGGGGCTGAAAGTCAGCCCTCCGTGTGTCTGTGCCCTTGGGAGCCCTCCTCCCGCTGCAACGCTGGGGACGGTCCCTGGTGGAAGGAGCGGGCAAGAGGATGTGGCTGAGGGGAGAGCTGGGACATGTGAGTCAGGGCCGTGGGGTTTCGCCCAGCTGGATGGGGCTTTGAGCTTGAGCCCAGGGTTTTGGGAGCCCGGATAGGTTCTTGAGCCGGAAGTGATGGGACAGAAGTGTTTGGGGAAGGTTCATCAGGCAGCCGTCCCAGGGGAGCCGTGCTGTGGGCAGGGAGAGGCTGCAGTCGGGGGGCGGGGGCGGGGGGGGGCTGCAGGTAGGGAGGCGGATAGGAGACACTGCAAATGGAATAACGACAGGACCAGATGACGGATTGGGAACAGGATGAAGGGGAGGAGGGGTCGGGGACGACAGGGAGTGGACAGTGCCAAGCCCCGCCCCCCATTCTGCAGCAGGGGCTCCTCTGTTCTCACGGGCTTTTGCTGAGGGATGTGACCCCAGCTTGGAACCTCGCCCCTTGAATGTGCTCCTCTCGCAAAGGAGAGGCAGCGGGTGGAGAAGAAATGCTTGATGTCTCTGCTCCCCCGCCTCTCCCCCGAGCTCAGGCGCAGGCCCAGCCCCTCAGCCCCACCCGGAGCCTGTGCCCCCAGGCAGGTGAGCGTGTGGAAGGTCGGTGTCCCCAGCTGGCTCCTTCCTCCGGCTCCTTGCAGCCCCTCCCTGGCTTGTCCTCCTGCCTAGCAGACCTGCCCTCACCTGCCCATCATCACCTGGGAGAAGCCAGCCCCAGGGTACCCGCCCAGAGATGTCCCCTGCTGCACAGGACTTCCATGAGGGCAGAGGGGCAGCAGTGGGGGCAGGGCAGACTGGGACTGTGTGTGGGCTTGCCCTCCCCGTCGGCCCCAGCCCGGCCACTTGGCCTTTGCAAGGCTCCTTCCCTTCCTCTCCTCTTCCTTTCCTCCTCCCTTCTCCCCTCTTCCCCCCTTCCTCCCTTTTCACCTCCCCACTCTTCCTCCTCACTTCCTGCTTCCTCTTCTTGGGCCCTGCCTCCCTTCTCCCCGCTCCCCCTTCTCCCTGCTGATCCGCACCTGTGCCTTCCAAGGTTAGGAGGCCTCAATCAGCAGCCTGCACGATTAGCAGATCATTCTTAATTACCCCAGTGAGTGGAGAAGACAAGGGGAAGCAAGAGCTGTTCAGGGCACCGGCTGGGGGTGCGGCGGTAGGGCTGGCGAGGGGAGAAGCAGCAGCAGTTAGGGCCAGGGGAGTGGCCCTGTCACAGCAGCTGACTGGAGGGTGTGGCAGCCCTGCAGGGGCCAGGGGCCTGCGGCTTCCTAGGAAACCCTCCCATACGGCCATGGGGGTCAGCTTTGGAGGTGGTGGGGACACGGAGCCCAGGCACTGTCCTGGCCCCCTAGGTGTGTCATTGACCTTGACCACCTCACACCCCAGGCCCCAGCCAGAAGAGCCCTCTGTGCTCCACTCTCTGGTGGTGCTCCCTTGCAGAGTGCTGTTTCCTCATCTGGAACTTTTTTCACTGCCTTGAGCCCCTCACCCCTCCTAGTCTGTGGGTGGTAAAGGTAAATGTTGACCAAGTTCTTGGGACATGTCGGCTTGTACAGCTCATGAGACATCCAGTCTCTCACTTTGACCTTTACAGCAATTCCACGATGTAGAAGTTACAATTCCTGTTTTTCAGCTGAAGAAGGTGAGACATAGATCAGTTAAGTGACTGGCTGAAGGCCACACTGCTGCTGTCCCCAGGTCTTTGGGACATTGTAGTTGTTTATCTCCTTGAGAGCAGATATGTGTTATCTGATGCATCTCTGTCCCAGGCTCTCAGCAGACTGACTGAGCCAGTTCCTTCCCTGCTGGTGTCCTGGTGACATGCTATAGGGACGTGGCTCCAGTGATGAGCCTGGAAACTGACCTGCCTGAAGCCAGCCACCAAGCCAGGGGCTCTAGATAAGGAGCGGCAAACAAGTCGCCCTCTTGCCACCAGCCCCGCTTGTGGTGGGTGTTGCTAATCACTCCTGGCTCTTGGTCCCAGGCCCCGTGTGGCCCAGCAGGCCATCCTAACACTGCCTGCCAGGCGGTAGAGGTGACGCACAGATTGAAACCTCCTTCTCACCCTTGGCCTGAGATTGGGCTGCCTGGGGACTTTGTCAACAAGCAAGGTGTTACTTAGCCGTCCTAGGCTCTTGGATAAGAAAAGAACCCTGGAAATCCCATCCTCCATTCCCCCTGTCCCACACAGGAATCTCCCCTGGATTATCCCTGACAGGTGGGCATCCAGCTGGAATCTGATTGCTTTGCAAAGCCATGCAGCTGTTTACAAGAAAGTTCTCCTTATGCAGAACTGAGAGGTCTGTTTCCATGTAACTCCTCCCACCGGCTGTAATGCAGCTCACTCTCTGGGGTGACAGAAAGTCTAATCGCTTTTCCGCCTGACAGCACTTGTGATCTTTCTGATATCTGAAGGGGATTTTCATATTCTCGAAGTCATCTCATCTTCAGCCAGAACATCCTTCAGTTATCTTCCCACCATGACCCGCCTCATCACCCTCCTCTGGTTGTTCGTTAGCTTGTCATTTTGTATTCAGCCAGGATGTTACATGTCAGGCATTGTCCCAGGTGCTAGAGATGCAGCTGTGAATCAGACAGACCCTGTGGTCTAGAAGGGACTTCAGAGTCCTCTTAACATGTGGAACCAGTTTGAAGGGGACACGGCTGTGGACGAGGTGGGCGTCTGGCGTAGATGAGCTCTGTTTTCTCTGTAGTGCCTCCAGGAGAGTGGACGTTCCCTATTTATTGAAAGAAGGTGGGAAGATCTCAGGAGCTGTGTGCTCTGAGACCTCACTTCCCTTCCAAGCTGCTTAACGTGCTTTCAGCTCATAGGTAACCGAAACCTCCTGCTAAACCTCCGTCCTCTGTGTTTGTGCCCTTGACCTTTTAAACCCGAATGCTGAGCTTCACATTCATTCCTTATCAGTTTCATCTTTTCTGGCCTCCTGGCCTTTCAGGATCCCGTGAGTCTGGATCCCGTCGTGCAGACCGTTTGGGGGCCTCCCCATTTGATGCCCCCAGCTTACTAATCAAGAGTCGCATGAGAGTGCGGCGCCCTGCCAGAGACCTTCGTGCAGGGCTGAGATCAGTCCATTCTTAAGCCATGCCTTTGGGGCGCTGTTGTTCTCTGGCTCTGATTTTTCCTAAATGTGCTCTCCTCCAGCCCCCATAGCTCCACCTTGTCCACGGGATTTTGTGAGAAGCCGTCAGAATCCTTGCTGACTCAAGCTGCACTGTGTGTTAAGGTTTTCCCCTTGATACGCCAGTCTAATAACCTTGTCAAAAAAGAAATGCTATGAATTTAGAACCGTGCTGGCCCCGGGGACCCGCCTCTTCCATTTCAAATTGCTTACGACCCTCTATTTAATAACCCATTCTGGAAATTTGCCAGGATCCATTGTTAAGCTTGATGTTTGTAACTTGGAGAAATCAGATGGAAGACCCAGACCGAGCCGGCTGTGTCTGGCTCTAGTTCCGACGTCACTCCCACCCTCCGTGGCACCTTTGAGTGGAGCGGTTACATAACTGTGCGGTTGCTTCAGCCCCGGGCAGCGTAGGGCTGAGCCTGGAGCCACAGGAACTGGCCTGTGTGCAAGCAGGGAGACCGATCTCCCTGCCGGAAAGCTGGGGCTCGGACAGGGTGCTGGTTCTGCGTCTCTCCCGGAAGGAAACCGTGCCTCTTGTTCTGTCTGCCTTGCTGCCCCACTCAGACCAGCCTGTCAAGGAAAACTAAGCTGGTTTGGGTCCCTGCTCGTAGGCCCTGCATCCCCAAGCCCTTGCACACGAGGGGCCAGGAGTAACCAAGGAGATTTCATCAGGGGTGGAGACCCCTGGGTTGTGAAGCTGGCCCATCAGGTGTGTTCTCTGGGGGCGAAAACATTCTAAAGTTGGTGGGGGTGGTTTAAGAAGGTTGGGCCAGAGTCTTGACTGTTCACTTCAACCCGTTAAAGGAATCCTAGAGTTCCCTGGCCGCGTGGTCTCTGACCCCAGGGACCGCGGCACTCCTCGGCCATCCACTCACTGTGTCCTCTGGCCGTTCCCCGGGAGCTGAGCTTGCAACTCTGCCTCGTCTCTCGTGCCTCGCTGTGTGCTCACTCCTGCCCGGTGAACGTGGAGATGTGACCACCGCTGTGGATGTGGAACACGGTCGCCACGGGCAGGTGTCCCTGGAGGTAGGGGAGCACTCAGGGGCAGGACGCCCTGGCAGGGGAGCCGGAGTCCCCGTGCAGTGAGAAGTACCTCGTGTTGCTGAATAACGCAAGTGAGGCTCGTGTGCGTTTCTCTTTGGGGCACATGGTGTTAGCCATTCAGTAACTGCAGAGGGACCCCTGCAGGTGCCAGGCACTGTTCCAGGCTCTGGGAACACAGCGGGGAACAAAGCCCTTAGCCTAGGAGTGCACAGGAGACGTGTGGTGACAGGTGGCTCTGTGTAATGGAAGAACTGGCTGGGGGTTGGAAAGTGACAGGTGCAGCTTTAGGTTCCGTGGTCGGGGAGGCTTTGGCGAGGGGCTCAGTGAAGTGAGGGACCAGCCGTGTGGGTATCCGAGGAGACGGCAGAGGCCACGTGACAAGGCGGTGTGTGGCATGTTCAGGGAGTGTAGCAGGGCGCCGTAATCCGGGGAGGGGGCAGTGGCAGCCCCTAGGCAGCCCGACCACAACCATGAGAACCACGGTGGGGACTTGGATTTACCAAAAGCTGCCTCTTATGTGCCGGGCAGTTCCTTGTGGACAGCTCCAGGACTTGAATTCAGGCCCAGTCTTGCCTGTCACTCAGCTGAGCTCTGGTTTCCTCCACGTAAGTCATGACGATTCTGCCTCTGCTCACCTGGGCCTGAGGCTGAGAACCCCGGCAGGCAGGAACCACGTCCCTTCAGGTGGCACGTACAGGTGCCAACTTGGGGCCAAGGTGATTGCCCATCCCTACCCAGAGCTCCAAGGAACTTAATACAGTCTGTTCCTAGATGCTTCAGGTTGGATGGTCCTGGTAGAGGTCACCTGGGCAGTTCTAAGATCGGGCCTGACAGCAGGTATTGCTGTGTTTTAAGAGTCCTTACCCGAGGACCTCCGTGGCAGTCCAGTGGTTAGGACTCCGCGGTCCCACTGCAGGGAATGCGGGTTCGATCCCTGGTCGGGGAACTAAGATCCCGCATGCCTTGTTTTGGAGCACTGCCAAAACAAACACACGCAAACACAAACAAAAATTTAGGCAAGAGCCCTTACCCGAGCCCCTGGCTTCGCAGGTTTGCTGTTAAAAGCAGAAGGGGTGCAGGAGGCTGCAGGGGCTTGGGGAGCAGCCTTCAGCCCCTGTGACTTTTTCTTCCGGTGGCAGGATCTCCCAGCGAGTAGAGCTCAGCCGGAGCCAGCTGCAGGCCATTGGGGAGAGGGTCTCCTTGGCCCAGGCCAAGATTGAGAAGATCAAGGGCAGCAAGAAAGCCATCAAGGTAGCGTGTGTGGCCCTGTCCCTCTGGCTGGTCGGCAGTCCCAGAAATCCCCTTCCCTCCCCTCTCCCCATGCCTCTGAGGCTGCCAGCTCCCTGCTTCAGCCACACGGCAAGCTTTCCTCCTGCCCAGCCTGTCTGGAGCTTCTCAGGCCCCCTGAGGAAGTGCTCAGACTCCCCGTGTACACAGGTGTTCTCCAGTGCCAAGTACCCTGCCCCGGAGCGCCTGCAGGAGTACAGCTCCATCTTCACGGGGGCCCAGGACCCTGGCCTGCAGAGACGTGCCCGCCACAGGGTCCAGAGCAAGCACCGTCCCCTGGACGAGCAGGCCCTGCAGGTCTGACGGGGGTGACCTGGGCACTGGGGAGGAACTGAGGCCCACCCCAGGGTTCTGTCCCCCGAGGACTCTGACTGCAGTGGGGGAGGTCACTCTGGCCTGGTGCTGAAACCCACCATCCCTCGGTCATTTCCCGTCACCCCACCGCAGGAGAAGCTGAAATACTTCCCCGTGTGTGTGAGCACCAAGCCAGAGCCTGAAGATGAAGCCGAGGAGGGGCTGGGGGGTCTCCCCAGCAACATCAGCTCTGTCAGCTCCTTGCTGCTCTTCAACACCACGGAGAACCTGTAAGGGCGGGGCGGGGGGTGTGTGTGGGGGGTTGGCCTGGCTTGGGGGGGGCCAGGGGCACCAGACTTGGGTGCCGCAGAAGTCTGCAACGCGGGAGCCACGAGGCTCCTGACCAGTTGGTTTTGCCTGGTAAGGCCTGGGAGGCCGTGGTACAAACTAATGGTGGCCCCGATAAGGTAGGAAAGGTGGTCCAGACCACGGGCCTAGAACAGATGCTGGATCGCCTGACCTCCTGACCTCCACCCCTCCTCTGTAGGTACAAAAAGTATGTCTTCCTGGACCCCCTGGCTGGTGCCGTAACAAAGACCCATGTGATGCTGGGCGCGGAGACGGAGGAGAAGCTGTTCGATGCCCCACTGTCCATCAGCAAGAGAGAACAGCTGGAGCAGCAGGTAGAGAGGGATGATGCTTGGGTGGGGGAGGGGACGTGGTCCTGCCGTGTGGTCTTGGCCAGGGATCTGCTGAGCCCCTCACCCCGGCCGGCTGTGGCGGGGACGCGCGAGGCCGCTGGCTGCCCGAGGCCCGCCACATCCCCCGGTCCCACAGGTCCCAGAGAACTACTTCTACGTGCCCGATCTGGGCCAAGTGCCTGAGATCGATGTGCCGTCCTACCTGCCTGACCTGCCGGGCGTGGCTGACGACCTCATGTACAGTGCAGATCTAGGCCCCGGCATTGCCCCGTCGGCCCCTGGCACCATTCCAGAGCTGCCTGCCTTCCACACGGAGGTGGCTGAGCCTTTCAAGCCCGGTGAGCCGAGAGCTGGGAACGGACTTGGGCGGGAGCACCCCTGCTTGGCCACTTTCTTGCGCAGGCACCTTCTCACGCTTTTCCCACCTAGAAGATGGGGTGCTGGCAGTACCCCCGCCGCCGCCGCCACCACCACCAGCTCCGGCCCTGCTGGTCAGCGCTCTCCCACCTCCGCCCCCAGCCCAGACCGTGGCCCCGCTGGGACAGCCAGCCAGGGAGGATGACAGCGGTGGCGCATCTCCTTCAGGTAGCAGCGGCATAGGGCACGCGGGGCAGGGAGGGGCGTCTGCTTTCTCTGAGGGTGCCCCTCATTTCTGGATCCCTGAAGGATTTTCTGTAGCTTAGTTAAGTGGTCATAAATGCTAGATTTTCAGAGTAGTTCCAATTGCAAACTCTTGTTCTACTGGGTTCATAACAGCAGTTTCAAACCATGTCTGTGGAGCCTGGACAGGGGGAGCCATGGGCCCCCCATTCCCCCTTAAACCAACGGGGAAAAGGGGGCAACTAATAGACATGGAAAACTACAGCAACAAAGTATCCACGTGGCCCTTAAGCTGTAGGGTTTCGGTTTTACTCCTGTATCTCCCAGTCCATCTCCAGCACCCAGAAGTGGCACAGAAATCCCCTGTTGGCTCCTGTGTTAAGTTCAGACACTCAACACACTGGTGATTCCCAGGGTCCACCTGTGCAGCGTGGCACCTAAAGCAGGTGGGGCTGGAGAGGGACCGGCCGAGCCCAGGCAGATGCAGGCAGCGTCCAGGCCCCGAGTCTCCCGAGGCGCTGCCTCACCACTGCCACCTCGCCGAGGAAGAGCCCTTCCTCAGACACCGCCCAGGGCCGCCTCTGGGCTGCACGGCCAGGCCCTGCCTGAGCAGCCTCTCTTCCTTGCACCCTTCCCACCCCAGTCCAGGGAGCGCCCAAGGAAGTGGTTGACCCCTCCGGTGGCCGGGCCACTCTGCTGGAGTCCATCCGCCAGGCCGGGGGCATCGGCAAGGCCAAGCTGCGCAGCGTCAAGGAGCGCAAGCTGGAGAAGAAGAAGCAGAAGGAGCAGAAGCAAGGTGCGGCCAGACCCGCGCGGGAGGGCTCCTTCCTGCTCCTGGAGCCTGCTCGGTGGAGCTGTCCTCTCTACGCCCGTAGGGGACAGAGCCTCTGCCACTCAAACTGCAAGAGCCTTCTTAGACTCTGCCAGTTGTCCAGGAAACGGGCAGGGACCTGGGATGTTTTTAGGGACGGAGACCTGGCTAAGTCCTGCTTCTCTAGGCCTCTGAGACTCTGGATTACGTCAGCTGTGAATCCCCATGGCTGACATAAATACCACACCTGGGCCTAAAGCAGCAATGCCCTGGGAGTCCAGTCCTGAGTTTTGAGTCCCAGCTCTGCTTCTGAGCTTTGCACTGTGACCCCAAGCAAATTGCCTAATTTCTCTGGGCCAGATTCCTCATCTGTCCAGCGAGGCCGCTCGTCTGTGCCCTTGTGTCACAGGGTAGCTGTGACTGTTGTTACTCAGAGGTTACCTGTGTTCTTATGAGCACTGACCAGAGCTCCAAGAGCTGTGGTGACACATGGCCGCGGAGGGGCCGGGTGTGAGCCGTGGCGGCCTCGTGGCTGCAGAGGGGCTGGGTGCGTTGACAGCACAGAGGACACTGATAGAGCCCTCAGGGTGTTAGGCAGGCTGGATCTGGTCCACCCCAGCCCCTTCATCTTCTCCCCATGGCTTTCCTGTTGCAGTGAGAGCCACCAGCCAAGGTGGAGACCTGATGTCAGATCTCTTCAACAAGCTGGCCATGAGGCGCAAAGGTAGGAAGCAGGACGCCAGCTGCCTCCCTGGCTGAGGTCGTCCACATCCTTTTTTCTCACTGTTTCAAGTCTCTAGAGCCCGGGTGGACTGGTGCCCCAAACCAGCCCCCCTCACTTTCCACCTTTGCCCTCCCAGGTATCTCCGGGAAAGGACCTGGGCCGGGGGCCAGCGAGGGGCCGGGAGGGGCCTTTGCCCGAATGTCGGACTCCATCCCGCCCCTGCCTCCCCTGCAGCCAGCCCCGGGAGAGGAGGACGAGGATGACTGGGAATCCTAGGGGCTCGCTCGCTCCGCCTTCCCCAAGCCCCCGACTTCATCATGGACAGCCTCCCGGGAGGGAAGGGGGTCACAGAGGACCGGCCAGCTCTGTTGCCTGGAGCTGCTTCAGGGGCCGCGCTCTGCCTGTGCCTCACCCAGCCTCTCGGCTGGCGTGCGTGCCTTTTCCCTAGAGACGCTTTGCGGCGAAACAGTACGTGAGTCAATAAAGAAGTATGACGCCAGAACCGAGCATAAACCAACAGCACCCTCTTAATTAAGAGACCACAGCTGCACAAAACGCAGGTGATGTCCCTCCAGGCCGGGTCTCAGGTAGCGGGGGCAGGGAGAGGTGCGGTCAGCAGGGGCCAGCGGAGGGAGGGACATTTCCACGCAGGAAAATATGTCTCAGTGACAGACACGGGGTCGCTAAAAATAGCCTCGCTGAGAGCCTGATGGCCCTCAGCATAATTGCTGATGTCAGGCGAAGAGGAGTCTCCGCGTGGGCTCCAGTGCTGGTGCTGGTGGGGAGGGAGGGAGGGAGGGAGGGAGGGGCGGGCCCCTGCCTGGGAGGACCTGGAGCCAAGCCGAGCCGGGAAGCTGATCCTGCTGCAGGGCCGGGAGCAGGCGTGCAGGAAGACCTGCGGCCAGCGGGCGGGAGTGGGGAGCAGTTCTTAGCAACTCAGAGCAAGAAGGTGGTTAGGGTGAGCAGAAGCCCCAAGAGAGGGTGAAAGGCCTAGAACAGCTACTTTTAGTGAGAAATGAGAGGGAGGGCGGGCCTGCCCCACCTCACCTCTAAGAATGTGGATACTGAGAAGCAAGCAAGGGCGGAGATGCTGTGGCCTCCACAGTCGCTCACAAAGGCCGGCCGGGAATCAGGTCAGGGAGCTGGACTCCGGGCCGTGCCGAGTGGAAGACAGGCTCAATTCCAGGGAGAGCAACTGCCCTGGGACAGGCCCAGGAATGGCGGGGCACTGTTCCTTCAGGATCAGCCTCATTTTCTCCTGTTGGCTTCTCCACCTATTCCTAGGTCCCGGCAGCCCACTGATTCCGAAAGGGGGCTACCGCGCTCGCCACCTGGGCTTCACAACTTCTTAGGCAGGATCACTGCAGACCAGGCCCAAGACAACATTTCTAGTGGGCGGGGTGAAAGGAGGGCCTGGTGACCAGGCAGTGGTGCAGCCATCTGTCAGGAAGAGCCAGACTTCTCTCTATGAAACTGTGGAGAGAGGGAAAGACAGGGAGACACCGGCTGGGGGCGGGGCGGGGTGGGGCTGGGGGGTGGGAGGTTCTGGGGACGAGAGAGAAAGGCAGGACTGACCTTCCGCAGAGCAGCAAAGGCAGGGCCAAAGGTGGCTTTGACCTGCACGCGGTCCCGGATCCAGGCTGGCAGCTTTGCCAGGATAGGAGGGCGGGCGTACCGCTGGTCCAGGAGCACGATGCTGGCAAAATCCTTCTGGTGCCTGATGGCCCTGCCTGGATGGGGACAGAGGTTGGGGGTCTGAGTTAAACCTGCCTCCCCCCACAGTGCGTTTCTACTGTGTCCCCTTCCCCTTGCTCAGCGCTCGGGCTGGAGAGATGGCAGGTGAAATCCCTCCTTCCTGTCGCCTCACTCTCCAGCCATCCATCTCGCCAGCAGCGTCAGCCCAGGCTCACCTATGGATTGGTTGACGGCCTTCATACACAGGTTCTCCACCAACACCTTCCCAGGGGGCACCTGGCCTGGGGCTCGGGGCTGGAAAGGGCAAAGGAGGTGACCCGTCAGAGCGGACTCTTGCCTCCTCCTAGTGTTCTCGGTGACAGTGACACAGCCGGGCTCTGGAGCGGGACCCGTGGGCCTCGTGGGCACAGCAGCCGGCATGATAGGTGATGGCATGGAGAAGCTCAGGGGCTGTGGAGGGGCGTACTGTCGCTCTGGAGCAAACGGGACACACGCGTCCCAGGGCAAGGGGGAGTCACAGCCGTGGGGTGCCCCCTCCCTTCGTCCTCCGAGGCACTGGCGGTACTCACGAGGGTCTGGTCCAGGTAAGCCATCTTCTCCTGCAGCTCTGCAGACCTGATGCTGGGGAAGGGCATGCCCACCATGACCACACACCTAGGGCGGAGGCACACACGAGTCACGGCAGCTGGGCGGTGCCCAGGACAAGGGGCCCGTCCTCACCCACACCTCCACTCCACTTCCTTCCGCCTCTCCCTCCCCTCGTCCCTACCACCTGGAGAGGGTTTTCTCAGCGGAGATATCCGGTCTAGACCAAGGAACTGAGGCCTGATCAAGTTAGGGGCTGCCTGATTTTCCACCTGGCCCCAAAGGGCCAAGTCCAGAGTTGTTGCATCCATGCGCCTCGTGGGTGACGGGCCTGAGCAGTCAGCCTGGGTGTGGACTCCGAAGGCGCCAGATGGGTGGGTGTCAGAGCCACGGGAGATGGGAAGCCCACCCCTTACCGGCCAAGGTTGTCAGAGAAGTTGATGCCTTCACTCATCTTCCCTCCGACCACGGAGAACATCAGGGCCCCTGTCACCATGCCCCCTGCCTGGCCACAGTGCTGCAGGAAACACCCAGCCCAGAGCTGCAGAGCCAGGGCGTGGATGCCAGCCACGGTACTTTCAGCTGCCAGCGCCACGTGCCCTTTGGACCCAAGGCCTCAGAACCACACCTCTTACCTGAATGCACCTGGAATACTCCAGCAGCACCTGCTCCACCTGGTTCACTCTCTGGGGCTCCTGAAATATCTGAAGGTAAACATAATGTCTCCCAGAAAAGGGTTTCAGAATGCCTGGGTCTTGGGTGGCTCTTGGCCTTATGTTTTCCAGACTGGGGACTGGAGAAGCCCACAGGGCCAGGGCCCTTGGGGAGATCCCCTGGATGGTTATCAGGGATTGGAAGCGGGGGTGAGGAACTAGCGGAAGCCCCTGCACACAAGAAATCCAAGGAGGAGCTCTGGGTGCCAGCGTCCTCTCGAGTGGGAAGTCCAGCGGAGCAGCCACTCACCTTCTTCCTGACAGCCAGGCGGGCCAGCAGGCCACTCTTGTCCCAGTGGGTGTGGACCTGGCGTTGGTACGCATAGGAGGGGAAGAAACAGACCACCCCTCCCGGCACCACGTTGCACAGGTTACAGAGGATGCGACCCGTCTCATCCATCTAGGGAGGGAAGACAAGGAACCCGCCACAGAGCCATTCCTGAAGCCCCCCAAAAAGGCTCAAAGCCAAGTACAGCAACCCACGGGTGACTGCGGGGGAGCACGGCCAGGTGGCTCCCCGGGGCGGAATGTGCCACCCTCCCTACCACACACCCGATGATGCTTCTGGTGCCTGGTAGCATCTGTGACACACCACCGTGCTGGCACACCAGAGCTAAAACCCACTGTGGGATGCCACTCAGTCCACTGTTCTCCAACTCCCAACATCCTAAAGGGGATTAAGCCCCGTCTGTGACAAATCAGGCACTGAAAACCCCAGGCATGCCACTAGAGGTGTGCTCCCAACACCCGCATTCCTGCCCAGGCGGAGCCCACAAAGCCGGACGGCAAGAGAACCAAAGGCGCTGAGCAGCCTGCTCGTGAGCTTCATTTAAAGAACACGTCCTCAGCAACCGAAGGCATGAGGCTGGAGATGGCTCAGACCTTCCGTGGTAAACTTCTAGATCCTGCCCACCCTGTGCCAGCTGTGATGGGAGAGCCCAGCGCCTGAATGCTCGGCCCTGGGCAGGGTGCCCCCAGCCCTAAGTCTACCTCCTGCCCCCGCAAAGGCCGTGGGAAGGCAGGCTGCCTGGTACGGACCATCTGAGGCAGCTCTCTCTTCTGGTACGTGAATTCCAGCTGCTGGTTGGAGGGCCCGCTGCAGATGACGAGGGGCAGGATGTTGTCTGCAGGGATCACGTGACCTGGCGAGACCCAGTGAGGCTGAACTGGAGTCGACTGTCCCGCAAGGCAGAGTCCAGGAAGAGCTTCCCCCGACCCTGTCTTCCAGACTAGGAAGAGCAATTCACAGCCCCCGCCCCCCACCCCGTTTCCACACGGGACCGACTCAGCGATGCCCAGGCCTTTCCGTGCAGACACAGGGGACGCAGAGCAGGAGAGCCCGGAGATGGGGAGCTCACGAGGAAGCTGCCCTCTTGTGGCCTCAGCCCCCGGGCCTGATAACAGCACACGGCTGAACACTGACACGAGGCCCAGCCCCGAAACCCTGGGCATGGGTCCTCACCACAGGAGAACTCCACCACGCGCTCAGCTTCCACCCCGGCACACGCCAGCAGCTGCTCCCGGAAGTCGGACACCTGCAGACCACAAAGCCAGCTCTGTCATCTCCCAGAGGCCTGGGCCAGAAGGCGACGAGTACGTAAGAACAGAAAAAAGAGGCAAAAAGAAAGGCTGGTAACAGATTCGTTAAAAGAAAAAAAATAAATAATGATACCCAGTGCTGGCAGCCTCATTTAAACCACTTGTGGGAACAGCAAGAGGAATCCAGCAATTTGAAACAGTGGTTCCAAACCCTGGCTATGCAACAAAATCACCACTCGGAATTTAAAACGCATATATATATGGTCAGGGCCCAGCCCAAACTACTGAATAAGAATCTCTAGTGGGAAGACATATGCATTTGTATTTTTAAAGAGCTCCGGGTTTTCACCTATCAAACTGGCAAA